GAAACATCGCGCCAATACTACAAAAGTACTAGGTAAACACGACCCAGATTTAGGCAGATACACCAAGGCAAACTGGGCACAAGGATTACGCGGGTTGCTCCCAAGAGGATTGACAGTGTCAACGCAGCTGTGGGCTCATCACGACTTGGCGTAATAGGCATCCATATAGAACAAACGAGCCAACAGACACAGGGTAGAAAATCGGCCTGTTCAATGCATTCCCATAATATGTTTGAGAAGCTTCGCGCTCCTTTAACAGCTAGACGCGTGCTTGAGATGACAGGACGCGGACAACGTGGAAGACGAATGTGGCAAGAACAACGACTGGTTGAGTTTACATGTGAGAATAACCAGACCCAACCCCAACGCCAAACGTAGACTCTGTATGCGCATCGCCGTGTGAGCTCACCGGGCCACGACACAGTTAACGGCTCTTCATCAACTCCATTTCATCATTCAATCAACTCCCAGATGCCCCCGATCTATAGCCGGGTGAATGGCTCCCACTCTCAAGGCTTCTAGACGACGACGCTTGCTTCCCGGCTCAATCTAACGGCACAGTCAATTTGGCAACGACCCGTCCGCATCCTGAACTGACTTACACATAGCGCTCCTTACTTATCACTCATCGAAACTTCTCACAACTTCGGTCCCGACGTCCCGTCCGCCCTCCTCCCATCTTGGTAGACATACCCGTGCGCCACCGGACTCATCCCCATCCCGGGGCTCAGAACTAATGGCGGCCGCCGCAGCTTCTCAGTGAAAAAGACGGGATGCCTGACGGACGCGTTGTGTGGTTGCTGTGCTGCTGGCTGGAGATGGAGCAGCGGTGGCGGAGGCGGTGGCAGCCGCGGTATCGTTGCGGTGTGGTTCGTCATGGCTGGCGGTGCGGTAGCAGGGTTTGACATGTTCCCTCATCAATCATGTATGTGAATATGTTGAATCTAAGATGATCCGGAATTTGACGCCGGCATTAGGAACCCCTTGATAGGGTCTGTCGTCATCTTTAATGTTGCGGGGAAAGGTTACGCCCCCCTTACCCCAATCCAACCCCCCGGATCGGCCGTGCGATAGCTCGCTGAGAAAGCCGACGCTTCGGCTTCGGTGGGGCCGCGGGTTTTGGGGAACGGCTGAGCAGCCGAGGCACGCGACACACATGGGTCTGCAGCAACAAATTCATGTTCAGTACGGGGCCAGACGATTATAGCTCTAGAATTTTGTCATTATTTGGATCTAGTATAGTTTTGAGCGCCGGTTCCTTCATGTCTCCTTCTTGGTCTTCTTCTTGCCCTTGGACTTTTGCGCCTCCTTGCCCTTCTTGATAGCATTGACGAGATCCTCCACCTCCTGCACCTTCTCCGCCTCCTTTGCTTCCTTAGCCTTCGCCTCCTCCGCCGCCTTCTGCCTCGCCCTGACGAGCGCCTGCTCCTTCTCCGTCTTCTCAATCAGCTTATCGCTCTCCTCCCACAGCTTCTTCGCCACCTCCTCGTCGTGGACGTCCTTCCGCGCAAAGTCCACCTCGCGGCACTCCTTGATCAGTCTACCGCCCTTCCCGCGCGCCAGGCCCGGCTCCATCGCCGCAAACAGCAACGACTGCGCGCCCTGGTCGGGGCTCTTGAGCAGCAGCCACGGCACAAAGTAGGCCGCCAGGTACACGAACAGGCCCCAGAGCGAGCCCCGCGACAGCCAGCGCCGCATGCCCGGCGTGCGCGCGTATCCCGGGTCCACGAACACCACCCGCGAGTTCATCGGCAGCTCGTCTGGCCGCTTGTACGCATCGAGGTGCTTCTGGAATGCCTGGCCGAAGACCATCAGCGCCATCTTGCTCCGCTTGTACGCCGCGCCGGGCGACCAGGCCGTCTTGCTCAGGGCGGCGCCGTCCGTCAGCGGCGGCGAGCCGATATAGGAGGGACACGTCGTGAAGAGGATGCGCACGTCGCGGTCGAAGGGCTGCGCCTTGATAGCCGGGCTGAGGATGGAGAGCAGGTGGAAGTTGGCGAGGTAGTTCACCATCCAGGTCTCCTCGAGGCCCTCGGGGGTCAGGCGCGGCTTCGCGGTGCCGGGCGGGGTGACGGTGGCGGCGCAGAGGACGATCATGTCGAGGCGGCGGGGCGGGGAGTTATCGATCCACTTGGTCGCGAACTTGCGGATGCTGTGGAGGGAGGCGAGGTCGACGTGCTCGGCGTAGATGAGCTCGTTGCCGGTGCGGGCGCGCAGGTCGCCGACGTACTCGACGAGGAAGGGGTCCGAGACGGGCGTGTGCGTGAGGAGGACGAGCTGGGCGCCGCGCCGGCCGAGCTCGTAGGCGGTGCTGGCCCCTATGCCTGACGTACCGCCCGTGATCATGACCACCCGCCCATGCATGTCCCGCTCCGAGGGGTTGCTGGCGCCGGAGCAATAAAGCTTGATGAGGGTGAGGGCGGCGACGGCGGTGGTCGTCTTGAGGATGAACCACCAGTTCTCGACGGCCCAGGCCGGGGGCCCGGCGGCGAAGACATAGCCGATGTAGTCGATGGGCATGGCGAACGAGTGGGCTTTCGGAGGTGAGGTTGTTCGTAAGGGGTTCAGAAGTTGAGCATCGCACCCAAAGCTTCGTTGTGGAAGCTAGGCAAAGGCTTGTGACGAGGCCACTTTGCTGGGCTTCCTTGGTTTCTAGAAAAAGTGGAAATCTTAACGTGCCCTCAGGGGAGTCAGGGGAAGCCTCCGAATTGCAGCAGGGGCAGGCCCGCCCCTGCCGGCAGCTGCAGGGGATGGATGGTCATCAGCCGGCTTACGTAACCTTCGCCCCTGGGCTTGGTGAGTTGAAGGTTCACTGTGGATTGGCCTCAACGACATCTTCTCCATCAGCACCCTCTCATCTTACAAAACCCCATCATCACCGCGATCAAGTCCGCTGCTTTTAATCACCGTCAGGAGTGACTTCTGGGTAGGAGTGAGGCTGGTTAGCGCGATGTCGGCGCAGATGCAGAGGCCAGACGATGTTGACGAAGAATACGATGAAGACTACGATGTGCCGCTCCACCACAAAAAGCCGTTTGGCGCAGGCATCCCGCGGAAGCCTATCCAGTTCGTCAAGGCTTCAGACCCGACACTAAGTACGACCAAGCCAGAGAAGACAACAAAATCGGGCTCATCAATAGGTGACTTCTATCTCAGCCTGGTTCTTCCCAAGAAGTCCGAGGAAACTCCAGTACCGGAGGCGCATGTATGCGCCGTGTGCGATCTGCCCCTCGAAGAGGAAGCCGTGAAGCAACTAAGTAAGGAAGCGAACGGCAAAAAAGATGCCACGGCAAGGCAGAAACACGAAGCATCCATCGCTCATCAAGTATGCCTGACACACTCACATCCACCGTCGGCACTGGACCGCACGCGCATGGGCTTGACGTACCTCTCATCGCACGGCTGGGATCCAGATTCACGGAAGGGCCTGGGTGCGGCGGGACAGGGTATGCAATACCCTATCAAGACTAAGCAGAAGGAAGACAAGTACGGTCTTGGATTAAAGATTCCGAAGACGTTGGCGGGTAGAATCGAGAAAAAGAAGCCCCAGACGCTGGATGCGAAGCAATGTCGGAAGAAGGCAGACGAGGACAAGAAGAAATCTGAGAATTTGAGGCAGATGTTTTATGGAAGCGAAGATATGGATCGATATCTTGGAACTGGTCGATGAATGATACCCAATAGACAGATTCAGCGATACAATTGAATGAATGATAAATATTGTATGAGCTTGGTGTGTCAATACATAATAGTCTTGTGATGTTCACTTTTTCGCCGTTCAACAGAAGTTCCTCAACCACCTCTGGAAGGTTCCAGTATGAAGCAAAGTGTAGGGCTGAGTGGCCTTGAGGCATAGTCTCAAACACTGCCCCTCTGATGACTGGGCATTTGAAGCTACTCTTGTATTGCGCGCCCTGAAAAGCAGCCGATCGAAGTCCAGAATCATCTAGCAACCGATTGATGGACTTCGAAACGTTGGTATCCTCTGCCTTGCCGAGATGCCTTCTCCAATTCTGAGCGGCGTAGGAGAAAAAAGGGAACATGCTCAATCGTGTGTCCATTTCCTCTGCTGTTTGGGCAACTTCACTCAAGAACGAACTCATGGTGAGGTATCGAAAGCATGATACTGCGAGGTCTTTATGATATAGACCCTCATAGCGGTCGCGCAACCAAGTGTGTACAGTGGTATGCACCATACTGATTGCACTTCCTTGGAGAACTACAAGTCCCCCGCAAACCTTGAGGATCATCGTCGATCGTACCAGATTCTCTTTGTCAATCACATCAATGCCTTCCTCGGTAGCCAGCCCGTGAGCGAGCTCCGACATTTGAAGCTTCCTCTCGGCAGAGATGATCCATCCCATAACCTGTGTTGCCAGGGTGCAGTGTGATTTGGACTGGGCCTCGATTCTCTGAAGGCTTGATTCGAACGCGTCTTCAAGGTGATTTGGATATGCCATCAGGGCCTTCCGCATTTCTTTGACGTTACTGAGGTCCACGAGATGATCGACGAGAAGCTGGACAAGCAGGAAGCTGTGTACTGTTAGAGTTGCCTTGTCATCCAAATCGTGCCTGAACTCACATTCCCTGACTTTTCAAGAATTTCTTTCTCCAGTTCGGGGTGATTTTTAATTAAATTACCCCAATTGCACCTGGAGACGATATAGGCCCTCAAGTCATTAGTATCAGCCTGTATCTCCATTGTCGTTTCTTGTTTCAATGCAGAACGCATCTCCGGCGTGGATCTACTAGTGATCAGGATGCTACATTTGACATGAGTGGAGGGGACTAGAATGATTCTCAGCTCCTTCGGGTTTTTCCATCTCATCGGGGTCGTCGAGAACCAGGACAAACTGCTGGTCGGCACAGGCGATCTTCAACGCATCGGAGAAGTCTTTTGAACTTCTAGGCCGAAGTATACCCAACTCCTTTCGAAGGCTGACGAGCTTCTGAATCGTAGTGGCATCTCCCCTCGTGACGACCTGGCGCAGCAGATCCTTCTATATTGTTTCTCTGGTTTGCTCTTCTCTATTTCCAAAGTCGAAGAAGTAATACAAAACAGGGACAGAGCCTGCACGAGCGCCCAGGTCTTGAATGGCTACAGCAGCGAGCATCGACTTCCCGACTCCGGGAGGGCCGTGACACCAAAGGAGCGGTGGCTTGCTTCCAGCTGTCCACTGTTTATAAGCTTCCGAGCTCAAAAACCAGGCTCCAGTATCCGACAGGGGATTTGGAATAAGTCTGGAGGATTCCTTGGGGTTGCCGAGCCATTCCAGAAGGTCCGTCTGGTCTTGGTGGTTGACAAGGCGCGTAACCTCTTGGTGCGTGGCAGTCGCGACGGTGAGCGCCTGAGCTGACAGAAAGTCCGCAAAGATGCTCCGGAAGCGATGAAGATCCTCAATGTGTTTCTTCAGATTCTTCTCTTGTATCGGCCAGAATATGCTCGGCGACGGCTTCCGGAGCTCAACGCATAACTTGTCCAACTTTTGGGCGCACTCTGCCACGATGCTCTTGGATAAGTCGCTTGGACGGCTCAATCCGATGTTCTCTTTCTCGAGGTTTTGAGAGACTTCTTCGCTTCGTAGGAGTACTTCGGTCAATGCGGAAACTTCGCGAAGATACTGTTTCTGTGTGCTGTGTGCGGAACGGATGTCAGTGATGTAGCTGTAACTGAGCTTGGTGATCTGCATGGCCATAGTGACCAGACTGGCAATGCCAGATACTAGTCCTACCACTTCGGCCATGGCGAAATGGGCGGAGAATGTTCGTCTAGTATAGTCCTGTTGTTCGTGCTTATTTTTCGGTCATCATCATGGAAGGAGAAGATGTTGGTGTCATGCATGAGATTAGGCAGCCTGCTGAGGGGTTGGTCATCCTACCCAACGAGGCCACCTAATCAACAACAGGCGGAAGCACCATGACTTTTACCAAACAAGGCTCTGGCCAGCCGTATCAATGATTCTAGAGGCTCACATTGTGTAACATCATTTCGGTGGACCGGGGAAGAAGTGGCAACCAAATGAGTGACCTCGCAGCGAACGGCCTACCGGGGTTTTGGTGGCATCTCTGAGATCGCCTACTTTTCCTGTGTCTACGCGGCTATATTGCCTGTGTACTTGACTACTACTATCGAAAGCGATACTAGCGATAGCGACGATGAGGACGAGGACGATTATAACGTCGATGATAATAGAAGCGACGATGAGTACGAGGACGATTGTAACGTCGATGATAATAGAAGCGACGACGACGACGACGTCGTCGTCGTCGTCGTCAACGGTGGTGGAGTGATTAGAGTATAGCCACAGGAAAAGTAGTCGCTCTAGCACAAGAAAAATAGGCGGTCTCGCATTTATAGCACATACCAGGATGTTGAATATGCTGAATATGCTTCCAAATAGCGGGACTGTGTCTCTGATATTTGTTGTCTCAGCAGTTTCAACGGAAAAGAGGGAAAGGCCTGGAGTATTCCGGAGCTAGTTCGCATTTGAGGGATGCTTTTGACAACCGGGCAGTGTCCCCTAATACTTCAATCGCCGCGTACTCGATACTTGTATCCGACGATAGATGAGGACGATAAACGAGGACGATATACGAAAACGATAGATGACAATAGTAGTGATAACGGTGACAGCGACGAAAGAGAGTATGTAAGTAGGAAACATATTCACTTTATTATTGGAATAATAAGGGGTCTCGGCAGGATCCATGGATTGAACGCGTGTATGGTAAACAGTGCCCGGCTAGCAAAGGTCTTGCTTGCTACGAGATCTATAATTTCGGCAGTTTGACTGTGAGGGAAACCAACATCTTACAATATTCCGGAGCTAGACCCGTGCTCCGGTGTCCGTGCCGTGCCGTGCCGATCGGGACGGTGGGCGGACCGGCGATCCTGCCCGGTTTTTAGCTTTGAGTAGGCAAAACGTTCAGTAAGGGCGTGAAGAGATGCAGCAGAGGATGGCAGGCTAGGGGAGGAGCCAGACTCTCTTGTGTGCAAGTTTCGTTCATACAATAGCAATCAAGCATAAGGAGAATGATCGAGAGAACATCGGTAGCGGACCGTCGTGAAACATACAGGGGACTGTCGGGCGTAAACAACCATCATCCATGCGAAGACAAGAATATCTCCCGAGGCCTACTGTATTGCTTAAATTCTTCAAAAGGAGTGATTGTGAGAAATGCAAAGGCGGTGACCTCATTCGGTCTGCTTTTGGGGGCCGAAGGTGGGGGAAAGCCGCTAAATCGAATTGCATAGGGACCACTTTTAGCGAGGGGCCTGTTCGGTGGCCCCGCCAATCCGGCGGCTGCACACTCAATTTGAAGCGCGTGGGCAAGTAGCGGTAGCGCGGCTGCTGCAATCAGGTCACCCTATCCTTCAAGTATCCTCACCGGGAGGGACACCTTCCTTGCTCTGTGCTCATCTTTGCTACCTGACCTTGACCTTCCTTACCTGACCTCGAGGTGTGTCCTGCCGCAGGTGCACACTTGGTACCTTTACCTTACCTTACTCACCTCACCCACCACCACTATCTGAGAAGGTACTTTAGACCACCCTCCCCTACCTTTTGGCAGAACGTGCAGGAATCGTCCCGACGGCATAGCACCTTACCGGACCTGACCCTGCCTCGTCGCTGCTGCTGGTCCGGAGCATTGAGGGTCCCACCGCTGTGACCGGTTCTCCCTCCATCTTGAAACCCCGCCAGACCAAAGAAACGTCTGCTTTGCTGGCTCGACACCGCAACGCAACAGAAACAGACAATCCACGCCAGCGACACAGACACTGACGATCGCAACTTCTATCAGTCGGACAGAGACCCGTTCCCTCCTCGCCCGGACGTCCATACTCCTGCCACCACCGAATCCCACGCAGCAACCCAGCGCAGCACCGCGCATTCCAGCCTCACCCGTCTGTCAACCCGTCAACCTACCTGCTTGCTCTACGCCTGCCTGCCGACCTGCGCACTGCAACCACTTCGTCGCTCTGCACCGCGTGCGAGCTCACGACGATCCGCCTTGTAGCGACCGCGACTCACCTCGCCCATCCGCTCAGCATCCTGCCTCGAGCCGCTGCCCACGCGGCAAGTCGCCACGATGGGTGCCTCCACGCTTCATGAGCTCCACGATGGTACGCATTTTCTCATGATCGGCTCGATCATCCTTGCGCGCCGCTGCCGCTACTCTGTCCAGGAACTGATCCCTTCAAATAGTTGTCATCGACACCATCAAGAACATCACTCGAGGCGACGTGAGCTACCCCTCCTCTGGATCCATCCCCAACAAGCCACCCGAAGCTAACGACGCCTGCAGTGGAAAGTCCTAGTTCTCGACGAAGATTCCAAGAGAGTCATTGACAATGTCGTCAAGGAAGATGACATCCTCAACCACAATATCGCCAGTATGCTGCTCCATGATCCGCCGGCCCTGTCTCTTTGCGACGAGCCCTGCCTGACCTCTGCCCCCAGACATTGAGCGCATCGAACAAAAGAGGGACATGAACCCCGAGATGGACGCCATCTACATCCTATCCCCCAAGGAGAACATCGCCGAGATCCTCGTCAACGATATCGAACGACGCAGATACAAGAAGTCTTTCCTGGTCTGGATCGGTGTTCTTGAGCCCCGAGTCCGCCACCTGATTGACAATTGCCCGGGCGCCAAACAGAGCATCGCCGGTTTCGAGACCCTATCGATCGACTTCTTCCCTCGCGAGTCGCACCTCGTTACCTTTAGAGACCCTTGGAGCTTCCCGATCCTGTTTCACCCCGGGTGCAACAACTTGGTTGCACGTCACATGAAGATTCTCGCGCAAAAGGTAGGTTGATTGGGACACCAGAAGTTGTGCACTTGGCTCACGAGCCCAACCAGATCACCGGCGTCTGCGTCACTCTGGGCGAATACCCGAAAGTTCGTTATTACAGACCGAAGAACCCCCTTCACGAGGCCAGCGTGCTCTGCGCTCATCTTGCTCGTTTCGTACAAGAGGAGTTGGACGAGTATGCGCAATGGAACCAGAACTTCCCGCCGCAAACGTCGAGACCGACGGGTACTCTTATCATTACGGACAGATCGATGGATTTGATGGCCCCTCTGGTACACGAGTTCACCTACCAGGCCATGGCCCACGACCTTTTGGATATTAAAGACGGCGACAAGGTGACATACCACATGGTCACCAACGAAGGAACGGCAGATGTGGAGGAAAAGGACATGGAGCTGTCCGACAAAGACACTGTATGGGTGGACAACCGACACCGACACATGAAGGACACCATCGACAAGCTCATGGGAGACTTCAGGAAGTTCTTGGAGGCCAACCCTCATTTCGTCAACGACGAACAGGACACGACGAGTTTGAACGCCATCAGAGACATGTTAGCTGGCCTGCCGCAATTCCAGGAAATGAAGGAGGCTTACTCGCTCCATCTGAACATGGCGCAAGAAGCCATGAACATCTTCCAGCACCACAAGTTGCCGGATATCGCCTCTGTTGAACAAAGTCTTGCGACGGGCTTGGACGAGGATTTTAAGAAGCCCAAGAACATCTTGGATCAGGTTGTGCGACTCTTGGACGACGATGCCGTTACGCCCAGCGACCGATTGCGCCTCATCATGCTTTATGTCATGTACCGCGATGGCGTCATTCAGGAGGACATCAACCGACTTCTGGCACACTGTGGTCTGCCACAAAGGGACGGCGAGGTGGTGGTCAACCTCGAAATGTTGGGAGGACGTCCCGTGCATGCTTTGAAAGATACCCGACCTCCCCCGCCGCCTCTATTCCCGAAGAACACAAAGTCTGCAGAGGTCAGCGAAGAATATTCGCTCTCCCGTTTCGAAACCGCAATGCAGACGATGTTGGAAGAGCTCTGCCGCGGCACACTGGATCAGACGACGTTCCCCTATGTGAAACCGCCATTGGACCCTAATGAGGACCTTTTGGCTTCGCAGCAGGGATCGCTTCGTGCAGGCAGGCCAAACTGGGCATCATCAGGACGTCGGCCGCCGGAAAACAGGCAGCGCTTCATTGTCTTCATGGCTGGCGGTGCGACGTTCAGTGAGAGCCGTGCTTGTTACGAGGTCTCTGCCCGCCAGAGCAAGGACATCTTCCTGGCGACAAGCCACATGCTCACCCCTCAGCTCTTCATCCGCCAAGTAGGTGATCTCACCAAGGATAAGCGCGCACTTGATATTCCCATGGAGCGGCCGACACCCCGCGCTCCCGCATGGGTTTACGAGCGACCAGCTCCGCCGCCGAATCCCATGGCTAACCGCCCTGGGCCCGGCATGGCGCCACCACCACAGCAAGGCCTGCCCGCTGGCGGTCGGAGGCCACCCCCGACAGGCGGCTTGCCCGGGCGCCCGGTCGCGCCGCCGACGGCTCAAATGAGCCAAATGAGCCTCAACCAGCCTTCGCCGGTATCGAACGGGGCAGCCTCGCCAGCGCCAACGGACGGAGGAAAGCCCCATAAGGGCGAGAAGGAGAAGAAGAAGCGCAACTTTTTGGGAATGAAGAAGAGCCACAAGGACAAGAGCTAAAAGAGAAGCAAGCAAATTCAGGATGCAAAAGCAAAAAGGCACGCAGTCTCCATGTCGTCCTTGGTAGCGTGGCGTTTCTGTGGTGTTGAAACTACGCGCGCGTTCATGTAAGGAGTAAACACACAATTATACGATACATTTTGACACTTTCTTTTCACACCGTCTCATGTGATTGTACAGCTGTGACTAACTGTTCAAATTGCTCATCAGCGTGATCAGAAGCAGAATGTGCGTACAGTCTATGAAAGGTAATCTAGACAAAGGAGAGGTGAAAAGTCCACGCGCACCATCATCTGAACGGCTGTTTTCGTAGAACCTGGATCAGCATAGCCAATCATGTTGTGATTGGGAGAATTGGCATTGGACAGTAGGAGAGAAAAACAAAAGACTTATTCTACTGCCCTCAAGTCCTCGTCACTCTTGAGGGTGTATTGCTTATTTAGAAAACTCTCATTTCAAGTCATGACTTTGTGATCTGTTGAAAGCTGAGCTAACAAAGATGACCCCCAAGAGAGGCAGCTGCTTCACTGAATAGCATGTTCAAGGAAACAAAGGTCATCACGCATCAGTCACTCTCAACACAGGCAATGAGAACAGGTCCATGTTATGGAAGCGAGGGAACAAGACATCCATTTCATTTCATTCATATCTACCATGGTAGAGAATCCAACGCCTCCTTTCCCATCCTCCTCCGGAAATTCATCAATCCGGTTTTTGTTCTCAATTACTTTCCAGCCGAAAGTACCATCAAAGTCATGAGCGGGGCCAGGCTGTTGCCCCGCGCTGATATTGTGTGTTTCGCAACCATGGAAGCGTGCTTGCTGTGCAAGACATTGTGCTTTGTGGACACGAGACCAATGGGCTCAAAAGAGATCGGCCACCCTAGTTCTTCTAGGGAGGCAATATTACGGAGGATTAGAGATGAGGTTTGCTGGTAGTTGAGCAATTCGACGAGCAAGAGGTCGCTCGTACCGACATTTGTTGTAGTGTTGGTTCAAATCTGTTCCTCACAGGAAACACATCTGGACGTTTGTTGTAGACTCAGACAAGGTAGATGCAGCAATTGATGTGCTGCGACAGTGCGGCTTTACGTTGAAGCCGAGGTTGATTTCAGGTTGATTTACTGCCTGCGGAACGCCTGCGCGGCGCCCGGAGGAGGCATACGTCCGTCGAAGGGAAAGCCATGCGCCTCAGGTCCCGGGGGTCCAGGGAAGCCAGGCATGCCAGGAGGTGGAATGAATCCGGGAGGAGGGCCGCCAAAGAAGCCCGGAGGAGGCGGCATGTTGCGAGAAGGAGGACCACCCATTCCGTCGGGTGGGAAAGCTCCAGGAGGGAAGTTGGGCGGGAACATGCCGCCCATGGGGTGGTTGCGACCCGGGCCACCAGCAAGGCCGGGAGGGGGAATCATGGATCGCTGTTGGGGAGGGGGGATAGGTCCAGGTCCGCCACCTTGCATCCAGTTGGGGTTCATCTGGTCAAGGCCAGGAGGCGGGGGAGGGCGCTGGAGGATTTGCGTAGGCTGCATGCGGGCCTCGGGCTCGGGGTGATGGAAGCCATCATCCATGAAGCCGGGGGGAGCTTGGCCACGCATCTGGCGTTGAGAGCCACGGCCGCCCTGAATAAAATCGGGCTCACGCTCTTGAGCGTGGGGGATCTGAGCAGCACGCTGAGGTTGCGGCATGCGCATGAGAAGTTGCTGCTCGGTGCGAGGAGGCTCGGGCTGAGCTCTCATCAGGTTCATCAAGAACTCAGTGTTACTGAGGTTGCGGCCTTGGTTCGGCTCCATTCTGCCAGATCCTGAGCTAGACGCCTGGTGACGCTGTCCGACAAGTTCCTGCAGCAATTGGTCCTGGCGCGCAGCAGGCTGCTGGCCGGGCATCATGGGGCGGGGAGCAAGGATATCCGACATGGACATGGAGCCTTGAGGCATAGGAGGACGAACGTTTGGAGGACGTTCTCCACCATATTGCTGGAAGGGCTCAGGAGACGCAACAGCGCTGGAATGAGTCTGCTCGCGGGAAAGCGAGGGAGGCTCCTGGAAAGGCTGTTGGGCAGGAGGCGTGGACTGAATGTTGGACCGCTGCAGCTTCATGAGCAGTGCCTGGAAAGCTTCCTTCTCTCCGTCGTGGGCTTGACCAGGCATGCTGGGGCCGCCAATTGGCAGGCCGGCCATCGGAGTTGGTGGCTCAGTGTGAAGCTTGCGGTTGGGGTCTTCCTGAGGAGCGTTGAAGAAGGACGTGAAGCGAGAAGATTTACCGCCTCCAGTCTTGGGCTTGGCGGCAGGAGCTTCCTTCTTAGGCTCACTCGGGGAGCCAGCAACGTCAAGTCCAGCGGTCGAAGCGAACTTGAGGAAGAATTGATCGGGGCCAATTTCGACGGCAGGGGCCGATGCGACAGCTGGTTGCTCGGCCTTGATTGCAGCTTCAGCGAGAGCTGGTGCCTTGTCCTCAGCCGGGGCTTTACGGCTTGCCTTCATGCTCTCCATGAACTTCTTGAAGTCCTCCTCGGTATGGCCTCCAGCCTTCTCTCCAGCCGGTTCGTCGAACCATTCAGGCTCGCGCTCGGCCCGATGATCACCACGGTCCCAGCGACGCTCATAGTTACGGCCGCTGGGCTTCTCCTCAGGCGGCGCAGAATCCCTGTCCCGATCTCTCCAGCTCTTGGCGCGGTCGATGCGCTCGCGAGCCGTCATGGGAGGCTTTTCACTGGCAGCGGGGGTATCATTCTTGAACCAGGGCTCCGACTTGCCCCTGCTAAGGCCATTTCGGGGTCGGGGTTCAGCCTCGTCGTGGTCCTTGTCCTTTTCATGGTGGTCAAGGTTGCGCTGGGGTCGCTCTCTGTTGCCTTCAGCATCGCGGTCACGGGTTCGCCTGTCGTTGGGGAGCCTATCGCCACCACCGGCACCCATGCGACCATGGAAGCGCTCAGCGCCCTCATGTCCGAAGCTCTTGCGGGGCTTCACCGTGCTCCATCCCTCATTGTCCTGGTCATTGTCGCCACGACGACGGAAATTGCTGTTTCTCGAGTCGCGGAATCGCTCAGGCTCGGGGGTATCACCATTACGGTTGCGGAAATTGAAGCGGCCTGGGGAATCGGCGTTCTTGAGGTCTTTGTCGTTCTCAAAGGGCTTGCCACCGTTGTTGCGCAGGGTTGCCGAAGCAAAGGCAGTTCGCGGGGGGCCAAGGATGATCTCGTCTGGGTCTGCGATTGAAGGATGGGTCAGCAACTGCAGTCAAGAGCGCTCGTGAGAGCGAGGCGGGGATGGCAGGTGACGTACTTGCGCTGTTTCGCGGGGCGTGTCGGTCAGTGGCCGGGCGGCGATTCGTCTGGTCGAGGAGGGGGTTGTCGTGGCTTCTTCGGTTGTCGGTGGTCTTTGTGTTGTTGTTCTGGGTGCGAGTGTTGTCGGGAGGCGGTCTGTTGAGCGGGTTAGAGAAGGCAGCATGGTGAAGAGGGATTGGTTTGGCGGAAGCATACCCCATCCAATCCTCTGCGGGTGGCAGGTTAGGCGGCTTGACGCATAGTGGTGATTCGCGCAGATGAACAAGGAACTCTGCGGTATATTGGAGTGCCATCGCAGTGTGATGATGCGAGGCGCATCCGAGAAGTGCTGGGGAAAAGTATTGATGCTAAGCCGTGGGCAATGATATTTGCATGGGCAGGTTGTAGGGAAATTCGATCCACCGAGTGGAAGGGAGTCGCGCGATGGTGTTGCACCAGTCGGGTGGAGGAGATGAAGGGATGGGTTTTATTTGGCGGGTGGGCGGTCGAGGCAGGCGATCGACGGCAGGCTGGAGTTGTACGTTACACGATGAGTAGTAGGGCAGGAGCAGTGGTGTGGTTGTGGTGGTGTTGTGTGGTAGGTAAGTGGGAAGGCGAGGTAGTGAGAGAAGAGAGGTGAGGTAGGTGGTGGTGGTGTCGAGGACGGTGTCAAGTCAGTCGGCTGTCGTCAGTCCAATCCAGTCCAATCCGGTCGGTGGAGGAGGAGGATGGAGACCGAATGGGCTCCAATCGGGCTGCGCTGCAGAGTGCGGAAGGCGTTCGTGTCGGTGCGGATCGGCAATCGAGGCTGACGAGTTGGAAGTTGCGATGGGGGATTGTTTGGGGTCGAGGAGTGCAGTAGAGATGCGGTCGAGAAAGAAGAATATTACGATGGAAGGTGGATTGTGGTAGTGAACTGTCAGGGCGTGTTGAGATGGTGGTCAAAGGAGGTTTTGGCACTTCGGACGAAACCTGGTGGAGGAGGTGCTGTGCTGTGCTCAGGTCGGGTCAAGTCAGGCAGGTCAGTGGTCACAGGTGCCAACCAGCCAGCCATACGTACTTTACTACTTAGGTACCATGCACCAACAGTGCGGCAATGGAAGGAGAAGCTGCCACCCGCTGCGCTCCTTCCTTCCACTGAGGCAGGTAGTGGAGGCAGGTAGTGCGTACCTCCCGGTTGTGGATGGCAGTCCAGCTGCGTGGCAGGCAAGGAAGACGCTAGGGACGCCCAAGCGCAGGGATACGTACCTGCCGACCTGCTGCTACCTTACCTTTACCCTGCCTGCCTTGGCTCACCTACCTCACCTTACTTTACCTTGTCACCTCCCTTTTACCTACCTTACCTTCCACCTCCTCACCTTGGGCTATGTCTCCTTGCCGTGCTACTCCCGTCAGGTCCTTCCCCATGAACAGAGCAGCTTTGCCATAGAACGGAAGGTATTCGTAGGCAGGTACGGAAGGCATGAAGGCGGTGACTAACTGGGCTCACCTCGTACAGTCACCGGTCTTAGGTAACCAGAACTCTCTCACCCTTGCCAGTTGCCTGCCTCTGCTGCCACAGCTCAGGTGACAATATATTATTTTCCACGTCGCCGCCGTCGCCTCCTCCATCCCCCGTTGCCCAGGGCAGAATGTTCCAGTGAGAAAAACTTCAGTGGGGTTTCTTCGAGGGGCCACTGCACTGCTGGCCAGGGCGCCCGGGCCCAAGGACGGCATGGAGGCCTGCAGCAGAGCCAGCCTGGCCACCTGCCGCGACCTGCGCTGCCGGGTCGGGGTTCGTAGGTCCCACGACGGCTGAGAAGGAGAGGAGAGCGCCAGATCACATCGGAGGGGACCCAGCATCGTCATTGTGCCCCACACTTTCCCTCCAGGAGCTTAACCGAATCGCCCAATATCGCTTAGCGCCGAATCTTTGAATCACGGGCTGGGGGGCCAAGCAATGGAACATGAACCTCCTGCTTCGATCTCACCCACGTCTCCATGCGAATCTTCATGCAAAACTTGGCTGACTGGCATATCCCGTGATAATCCTGCATGTTGGTTCTCGAGACACGCAAGAGACACTACCGACAAAAGACAATTGAGTTTTGCAACTTCTCGACTTTGCTTTTTCTCCATCCAAGCTAACCATCCTAACTGACACTGTAATCTCCTTCCACACAAGTCAGGAACGCGGTCTGACACAGCCCAAGTGATGTCGGCCTGTAATCCAGTTACCTGCCGTTTTGCATCGTTGTTCCTACCTTATCCAATTGAGATAGAGACCACTCACTGGTGTTTTTGGACTTCCTTGACCGCAGATCAAAACATAGAATCGCATTGTTTCTGCAGAAACCCCAACAATTATAAATGGCATGTCGCCTATTTCTTTATCTACAAAGTGTAAAATACACTCGTGGTATTCCTGCTGTTAATGCGCCCTAGAAATATCGACCAGAAACCTGGGAATAGATCTGGTGTTCATATGAGAGCAGAAACCATCAGCACATATATGGAGATGAGACTGCCTATTTATCCTAGGGTAACATAGATACTGAACTTGAGTGGCGTTTTTGCTGCTATTTTTGTTATTGCTGCTGTCGTCGTCGTCGTCGTCGTTGCTGCTATCATTATTACCAACATCATAATTATTACTTCTGCTACCGTATCTCATAGGAGTGATTAAACAAACAGCAAATAGCCGCGCAGACACAGTAAAATTAAGCAGTGTCATGCAGGGAGAGATGAATGTGAAGACTACAGCAAGAATAGGAAGTTGCGATGGTAGTTAGCCTGTGCTTCAAGTACTTAAAAGGAAGCATTTGCGATAGCACTTGATAATCATATTATGAAATTCAAAATAACGTGGGACCAAAAAAACTGAGGGGGAGAGCAGAACGACACATGCATATCAGTTGTAGTTAAATGCCATATACCATCTCATTTTGAGTATCCTTCCTAAACCTCCTTATTTTAATACATTAGCCTCTACCCTCCCATCATTTCCCCCATCTCAACCCTCCAAAGCCGCAACAACACCACCGCGACTCCACTCCCCAACCCTCTCCCGATCACAAGTATCCCAAACCCGCCTCCTCAACGCTCTAAACACCTTAGCCACCTCCTCGTCCCCGGCCGCCACATACCGCGCCTCCTGCGCCTCCAGCCAGCTCACAATCCCAAACCTCGTCGCCAGCGTCGTGCTCCCGCCCTCGACGCACGTCGCGCGGTACAACACCCGCAATATCCGCGTCCGCAGGTTCGCCCGCAGGTACGGGTTCGCCGCCAGCGCAAACACCTTCTCGAACCACTTCTTCTGGTGGAACACGGCCAGGTCCGCCGGGCCCCGGAGCCCCTCCAGCAGGTACGCCAGCAGCCAGCTCACCTCCGTGTAGTAGCGGTCGTCGTCCGACGGCGCGCCGTGCAGGATGTCGTGCGCGAGCGGCACCTTGTCCGCCTGCCAGACGGGCCCGCGCGTGAGGAACGTGTTCACCTTGGCGTAGAGGCAGTGCAGCGGGTTGCGGAGGACGTCGAGCGCGGCGATCGCGAAGGCGACGAGCGGCGAGGCGACGGGCCCGCGGGGTACCAGCGCGCGCGCCGACTCGGCCAGCTCCGAGAGGAGGAGCCAGATCTGGTCCTTCTCCTCGTACGACGACTCCTTGATCCGGGCGGCCATCTTCATGATGTTGGTCAGCGCCTCCTGGCGGATGCTGGCATGCTCGGACCAGAGGAGGCGGATGAGAGCCGCGGCGTGGCCGTCGTCGATGAGGTCCTCGACGCTCTTGGAGTTCCATTTCAGGAGAGCCGAGTTGTCCTCGTCGTCGGCGAAGGGCACGTCGAGGATGGCTTCGAGGGACGAGTCGTCCAGCTCGCCGCCGGTGGCTGCCTTATGTCGTTCTGGCTTGGTGGTGTCTTCGGACTCGTCCGCCTCTTCTGAGGCGTCATCGAGTAGACTCTTGTCTGACTTAGGCACGACGGCCGGGGCGCGGCCGTCGAGTGTTGCAGACATCTTCTTCGCCAGCACATCAATCGCCGCTGACGTCTCCCCCTTTGTCTTTGCACAACTTAGCACAAGCGCCAGGAACTTCGAGAGCAGCTCCAGCTCCTTCTTGTCCGTCGTCTTGTCAGCGATGAACGGCAGCTGCTCCACCATGGCAGCCAGTATCAAACTCGCAGAAACGTCGTCCTCTACGCTCTCCTGCATCAAGTCCACATACTTCAAGGCTGACGCAGCGCACCGTCCGGCACAGTTGTCAAGATACCCCCAGATAAAGTCGATATCCTTCGCCTTGCCCTTCTTCACACCCTTCGCAGCGCGGATAAAGGGAGCGAGCCCCGTCTCCGGCAGGACGAGCTGGTGCTGCACCGCAACGGACTCCAGCACCTGCTTCAGCTTCGTCCTGCCCTGCGCGTTCTCCACATACAGCTTCAGCAGCGCGACAAACGGCGACGCCGCCAGCCCCTCTGCCTTGGCGAACCACCTCATGCCGGGCGAGTACCCCGCAATCGCGATCAGGTTCTCCAGCTCCATGAGCGCGAGCGCCTGATTCTGCGGCTCCTCGGCCCTGCCATCGAGGCGGTTGAGCGCGTTGACGAGGAACGGCGAGACGTCGAAGTTGGCGCGCAGGGCGACCTGCGGGATGACCTCGTAGTACAGCAGCAGCAACCGACTGGCCGCCTCGCGCTGGAGCACGTTCTCCTCCGCCATGGCCTTGTAGCACTTCGTGACCTCCTTCATGTCGGGGATCTTCTGGCAGAACTCGTCAATCAGCTTGCGGGAGGCCGTGTCCCACGTGGACTTGGCCGACTCGGCCGCCTCGCGGTGCATCTTGAGCGCGACTTCAAGCTTTTGCAGCGCCAGGACGAGAATACGGACGGCAAAGAAGGAGACCAGCGTCGACTTGTGCGAAAGACATCGCACCAAATCACGTTGCTTCAGGGGTAGCGGCAGGATATTGTCGAGGAGAATCGATGTCGGCGGGGGCACGCGGCGGTACCCGTTTACAGGGCCAAAATGCGGCGGTAGCGGTAGGTGAACGGTGTTGAAGAGGAAAGCGGCGTACCCGATCCACGTCATGGACAGCTTGGGTTCGAAGGAGAAGGACTTGTTGCCGATAAAGTAGCTCGCAACCAGCTCCGGTGCCGCCTGAAAGATGGCGACGATGAGCTCGCTGTGTTTTAGACTCGACCACGGCCGCAGCTTCTGAATGAACTCGGACAGCACAAAGTTGGCGACGGCAACCTCGTCCTTGTACTTGTCCATCCACGCGACGCGCTCCAGACCAAAGTCGTCTGAGCTCTTGACATCCTGCGCCGCCTCGTCCTCCAGCTCCTTGGGATACAGCCCCGTGCCGGAGTACAACACCCCAGCTCCTGGGGACGTACACGCATACACCAGGAACTCGTGAACCTTCTCCTTCACCTCTCCCTCGCCATCATGCCTGTACGCATACAACCCTGCCAGCCTGTCCAGAGTCTTGGTGTTAAACGCGCGAAACTTGACCTCCCGCGGCAGCTTCTCGTCCAGCAACACGTGCTTCTTCAACGCATCCAGCATCTCCGAGGTCAAAAACGGCGGGTCGTCCTTCAACAGAAACGTCAAGTGCGAAAACACCTCCTTCAGCATCAACAGCTCCTTCTTCGCCTCGGACGGCAGGTACTTGAGGCAGCTCAGAAACAGCTTGATCGCGTTCGTCCGCACCGACGGCTTCGACGGGTCCTCGAGCCCTTCGGATCCCAGGTGCCGGATCTCAAGGTTCCGCGCAAAGCTCGCAAACGTCGAATCGCGCGCGCGGAACACCCTCCGCGCGAGCGCCCCGCCGTCGAGCGTGACGACCTCGCGCAGCAGCCGCAGCGTCGGCGAGATGACGTACCCGCTGCCCTTGGGCGCCGACAGGTTGCGCGCGACGAGCTTGAGCTGGCGCTCCTGCAGCAGCGTGCGCGCCAGGTCCAGCGCGCGCGGGAGCAGCTCCAGCGACGAGGAAGCCACCTGCAGCAGCAGCGCCAGCACGGCGGGCACCGCCGACATGAGCCCTTCGTTGTTGGCCTGCGCGCCGAACGCCCACATCTCCATCAGGTCGGGGAGATACACGGCATCCTCGCTCGTGTCGCGGGGCTGCGCGGCGACGAGGTACTCCCGGAGGAGGGCGAAGCGGTCGCTGTTGTCGGCGTCGGGGGTGTTGAAGCCGTCGAGGAAGACTTTGAGGGATTGAATGCCTTTAAAATACATATATAGTCAGCCAAGATGGGTTCTCGAGGAGTTTACGCAAGCAATTGGGAACAAGATGCCAAACTTACCATGTCTCGCACGCTTCTGGTCCTGGTCGAAGGTCAAGAGGCCCTGCAGCTGCCTCGCAGTGTTCACCTCCTCAAAAGTCGGCGCTTCGTGCACGACCTTCTGCCTCTTGCGCGCCGCATCGTCGAGTCCGCGCGACGGTCGTTTGGGCATGATTTCGGTGGTGTTGAATTGAGATTTTGCGAATGTAGAGATCTCCTCTCTCTCACATTCCTGCTCTCTCACTAGCTTCACGGCGAAAGCGAGCCAGTGGATAGACCCTTCAAGAAATAAAAAGTTCTGCCAGCACCCACCGCTCTATCTTATCTACCGCATCGGGGTTAGCGCGGGGACCAATCTAGCGGGGCCGTGGACCCGCAATGACATTTCGCCGTGCGGCGCGCCTACCTACGCCTAAACTTAACCAACCAACCAAACTCTCGACCAAATTTCTAGAAACACCGTCCTCTCCATCGCGACTCTCCCATCTTTAACCCAAACAATAACCTCCCCCGCGAACACCCTCTCAGACGCCACAAACCCACCACGAACCACATTCCACCACCTCCCTTAAAAAAACAACCATGGGCTCCATCGTCATCCCCCACCTCAACTCCGGCTGGCACGTCGACCAGGCCATCCTCTCCGAGGAGGAGCGCCTCGTCGTCATCCGCTTCGGCCGCGACTACGACCCGGACTGCATGCGCCAGGACGAGGTCCTCTACCGCATCTCCGACCGCGTCAAGAACTTCGCCTCCATCTACGTCTGCGACATCGACCAGGTCCCCGACTTCAACCAAATGTACGAGCTCTACGACCCCTGCACCATCATGTTCTTCTTCCGCAACAAGCACATGATGGTCGACTTCGGCACCGGCAACAACAACAAGCTCAACTGGGTCCTCGAGGATAAGCAGGAGCTCATCGACATCATCGAGACCGTCTACCGCGGCGCGAAGAAGGGCCGCGGTCTGGTCGTCAGTCCCAAGGACTACTCTACGAGGCACCGATACTAGAGAACACCACACATGGGGTTTCCAAGGGAATCCCCGTCAGTGGGCGGCGCGGACACCAGCTTCTTATTTGCATCGCGACTGCGGGAGAGAGAGAGAGACAGGAATGATATCCCCGGGACAAAAGTTATAGGGTTGGTCTCACAAAATTTCAAGAATCACGTTTGAACCAGAAGATGCTAATACTGTGTGATTCCCAAAAGAATCGTGTAAACTTTTTCTTGCTTCTTTTTCGTCATTAGGTAAGGTAAGGTACGCCCCCCTCCAGTCGCCTCTTCTACTCTATTCATCATTGGTCGTGATATGAAGATACATAAGTTTCGTCTGTTTACATGCAACCGCACGCTCCATGTCCCAACGTAGTAGTTAAAATGCTTCGCCTCTCCGATTACTCTCTTACATCTTCCTCCAAAAGGGGACATGTGTGACACGCGCCCCTGATTACGTAGTAGTAGAATCACAAAATATGAATCTCACATGCTCGTCCCCAAACCTCTACAACATCTCTCCCTGAGGAGGCATCTTCGTCAAGTAGTTGGTAGGCACCTTCGGGACCGCCTGCGCGGCCGCGGCTCGTTCGGCTCGGAACAGCTCCTGCTGTCGGTCGCTCTCGCGCGATCGGCCGCCCGTCAGACGGCGCATCCTCGACCTCGTGCTCTGCGCAAGCGGCTTGATCATGTTCTCCAACGAGAAGGAGCCCTCGCCGCCGTGCCCCGTGCTCGGCCGCTCGTCGTCCGCATCCGAGAAAACGTCTTCGGGGAACTCGTCGTCCGACGCGAACTCGCTAATGTGCGGCTGGTACGACGCGGGCGCGGATGGGGACGTGATGGACCTCAGGTGCAGACCGGGCCGCGACCCGTTGCCCGCCATCAACCCGCCCGCCGACGCGCTAAAGGCTCCAGGATTCATCGTGTTGGAGCTGCTCGGATCCCTTGCCGTAGCTGGTGGCCTGTCAGTAAACCCATTCTGGAACGTGCTGTTGTTGGAGGCCTGATGCAGGATTGGCAGGATTTGCTCATCATACAGCTGCGCCCCGGACTCGAAGCTGTCCGGTGAGAACTCGGTGATGGTCTTTGACGAGCGGCCGTCGCTGGGCGGGCTCGTGCCGAGGTCGTCGAAGAAGTCGTCGAGGCTGTCCAGCTTCGTCACGAGGTCGCCGAGGTGGCCGTCGCCGCGGCCCTCGTCCGACATCATCGTCTCGGTGCGGTCGGGCATCTGGTGGAAGTAGCTGTAGGGGAAGTCGTCCGTGTGGAACTCGACATCGGGCGTCGGCGTCGCCTCCGTCATGATGCCCTCCGCGGTCTGGCACATGTAGAACGCTGCGTGGATGTTGGCGCGCGTGAGATCCGTCTTCTTGGCAGGGATGGGGATGGCCCAGCCGGATGCTTCCGGGATGCCGAACAGGCTCTGGGTGCGCTCGTACTCCTTGCGAATCGTCTTGGACGTCGAGCGCGTCATGCTCATGCGCAAGTGCTGCTTGTCCATGGCGCTGCCCGACATTGTCATGATGTTGTCGAGGACCTCCAACGCCTCCATGCAGAATTCGGTCTGCAGCAGGCGCAGGAGAGGCGAGATGAGGTCCGATCCGTGTCCGGCTAGCTCGGGCTTGCGCATGTCGATCTCGGGTATGACGATGCTGAGGATGTTCATCGTCTTCAGCTTGACCCAGGCCGTGGAGTTGGTGAGGAGACCCATCAGGAAGATGACCATTTTGAAGTCCAGCTTGGGCAGGAAGTGGTCCTTCAAAGCTCCAAAGAGACGGCTTTGAAATTCCCTGCTGTTGCCCTGGTATTTGAAGGCAACGTATTCCTCGAGGACAACAGAGATGTTGCCGAGGCCCTGAGCTTCCGCAACCGCACATAGGATCTCAGCGGATTGCAGCACGGACTCGCTAGGCTCATCCAGCTCCATCTCGTGCAAGAAACGGGGGAAATTGGCCAGGATGGCAAAGAAGACCCTACTGTCATCTCCAATGAGACCGTCACTCGGCAGCTGGACCAGCTTGTCGATGGTGCTGAGGGTCGCCTCCATACACATTGAAGACCTTAAGCCCTTGTATAGGAGAGATTGCAGACCCTCATATTGCCCATCCCATCTCGACGGCTGGCCGTCAAGTAACATACGGCGAACATGCGGCAGCTGGAAATCGACCTTGGAGAGGAACTCGTTGAGCATCTCTACGGCCTCCAAGAACTCGCGCTCGTTGATTGATTCCAGACAAGCGCAGGTTGTCCAGAACAGCTGAGGGAAGGTGAGTAACTTGTCGGCATCGAGCTTGAGGATGAGTGTCTTGAGGGTCGTGAGAATCTCCATGGCGAAGGTTTGGATCTCGGTGTCTTCATCAGCAATTGTATTGGACAAGCGAGCGAGCATGTCGCCTAGCATGAACTGATCCAGCGAGGTGAGGATGCATCTGAAAATCTGGAAAGACCGGCAGGCAAGGTGTCTCACGGGACAGGAGGTCGCCCATGTCAAGGACAGTCTGCCCCACTGGTCCTTGATGCCGGGATACGTCATCTCAAAGGTCTTGACGACTTCGGCCGTGAGGAACTCCATGCTTGGGGGGACCTTGTTGTCGTGGTCGTCGGCCTTGCCGTTGCTGTCCTCGTAGCCCCAGACGACGGAGCGATCGTGGCGACGGATGAGGTCGATGAGATCCTCGATCGACGCTCGAGCCGTGGGCGGAGTCTGGTCATCTAGTTGCGAGATGACGAGCTCGTGGATCAGATGGACTAGCATTTCCCTGGCTTGCTCTTGTACAAGAGGCGTGTAGTGGTCCCAGAGAACGGTGACGACTTGGAGGAGCACCGGGACGTTGTCCGGGGTCAAGTGCACGGGTGACACCATGAGGTCCACCAAGAGGATGAGCGACAGCTGTCCCAAAGAGAACCCAGCTTGCTTAGTGCCGACAGGGAGGGCTTCTCCGAGGTCTGCACAGTAAGGTAGCAGACCGATGTCGGGCGGCGGCGGCATGGCGTCCTTCTTCTCATTTGGCACCATAGCCTTGGGGGTAATCTGCATGAGAAGGAACTCGACAACCTTCATCCCAGGGGTGCTTGTCGTACTGGAGAGGAAGACCACGATCTGCTTGGCATATTCAACAAAGTTCTGCTCTCGGCGCTCGAGGCACAGCGAAATGATGAAGTCCAGAATCAACCGCACGTTTCCGGGGTATGGCCCCGTAGCGAGAGCCTGCCACAAGGCCTGGACTTCGTTGTGCAAAGCGCCGCTGGACTTGATGGTGATTTCCAGCAAATTGGCTAGGAGAACGTATGACTGAGCGATCGGGCCGCCGTTCGGATCGACCTTGAGCTCGATAGACTGAATCCAGGGTAAGATGACAGCGACAACGTTGCGTTGAGATGCCGCTTGGAGATCCTTAAAGTAGAGAGTAAACTCGGAGAAAATATGAAAGGCCAACTCCGTGTGTTGCTTGGCGAGTCGCTTGGAGATTTCGAACTGGGCGAGCTTGTACACCGCCTTGGTCTTGTCCGAGATACTGATGTCGTAGTCTTGGATCTTGGAAGTGCGGCCCGGCTGTTGTCGCTCTTCGAGTGCCCTCAGAACGCGGGCGGACTTTGATCGGATCTCGCTTTCATCGTTGCCCAAGGTAAAGAGGCAGAGGCCGAGTAGCTTCCAAAAGGGGCACGAGTAGTCGAGGTGTTCCAGGAGGACCTGAGTGACCACTGCAAAGTAGCTCTCCTGGACCTTGGAAACGTCCGTCAAGTAGCAACGCGCAATACAATGCTCCAACAGATACGGGTATTCTTGGTTGTGAACGATGAGGTTTTGCAGAGCTCTCCTTCCAATCACGTTCATTCGGTCGCTGCCCGAGTTGAAAATGGCCTCGATCCACGCCAGCATCCTCCGGACATCAAATTGGAGCGTGTTGCCGCTCTCGGTGGTGATGCTCATCGGACCGCCGCAGAGTGCTGCCATGGCACTCAGCGCTGCCGTACGCAGGTTGCGCTTCTCGATCTCCATGGCCGCGGTGACTGTTCCCCTCTCGCCCAGAGACTGCTGGTCGATGAGGGACTGTCTCATGGTATCTTCGCGGACCCGAATCTGTGTCTGGTTCGGCGAGAAGCCGCACCAGTCTTCCATCAAGGAGAATGCGGACTTCCTGGACTCAAACGTCATCCAGCGAGAAGGATCCTTGGTTCTGTTGATGCCTTCGAAGAGCTCCTCCATGAGACCGCAGTAGTGGCGCCTCAGCTTCTGGAACTCCCAGTCCATCTGCACCTCGCCGTCCATGAGGAACAGCTTCAGGTCTCTCGTGTATGTAACAAGATTGGTCAGAACCCACTCGTCGTTGTAGACATCCTCTTGCTTGAGGAAGTGGCAGGTCAGCTTGTACACGTGCGTGATCTCCGTCCTGAGCAGGTCCATCTTGCGGTTGCGGCGCGGGCTGCTGTTGGTGCGTTGATGGATACGGGCGCGGGCTTCGTCGTTGCAGCGCGACACTTGCCCGGCCAGCTCCTCCAGAAGCGTGCGGTAAATGTGGATGTTGATAGAACCCATGGCGAGTACAACTGCGTCTCGCACAGAAGCCGAGGAGACGGAGAGGAGGGGGATGAGGTATTTAAATAGCACCCGAGCTGAGACAATCTTGTCTGCCGAGGTGGGCTTGGACGTCTTTCGGGTATGCTGTGTCCCTTGCGGGTTGGCGGGAAAGACAGCTCCCGGGTCGGCCAAGGTCGTACAGGCGAAGATGAGGTAGAGCTTCCACTGTTCCACAAGGATCTCGGGTTGTGTCGTCGGTGTCCTACCGGCGATGCGGGCGCTGCCAGGATCAGATCCGTAGTAGAGACCCCTGGAAGGCTCCGAGAGAAGCACAATGGCCTTGTACATCTGCAGGATTCGGTTGCAGATCAGGTCCCGGCCAATGGTAACTGTGAATGGGCATTTCTCGTACGCAATGCGGATGAGATTGGGGAAGAGCTTGAACCACAGCGTGGTGTCGTATGACACATCGCTGGTGCACAGCTCCACGAGTGCGCCGC